CACACTTAAAACTTACCTTCGAAAACGAAAGTTCTGAACACGTCAAAATGTCACTGTCACAAGAATCATGTAAGCGCGATAAAATTTTGCAACGTTTTTTTAACTCAAGCGGCGACACGTGCAGTCCTGTCGAAGCGCGTGCGCGGACTGAGCTGTGCGGGGCGAGATCTGTCCGAAGAACTTGGTACTAGAGCGTGAACTTGGTTTTAAATTCTCTTTTTTTAAGGTGCGGCGTCTATCCTCCAAGGGCGTCTATCCCACTTTTACCCTTTATGTAGATCAGTGGAGTGAACCAGGGGCGCAACAAGGGGGGTCCGCGGGTGCCCGGGCACCCACTCGATTAGGTTGAGCACCCACTCGATTTGGGTTGGGCACCCAGTCGATTCAGGTAATAACCTAACTTTAAAGTTCGGTTCAAACTTTCAGTCATTTATAGTATTATGAACCGAACTCAACTCAGCCGAACTCAATTTTTTTTCAATTCAAGTCAAATTGTAACGTTGTTGCGCCCCTGGAGTGAACCCACTGTATAGAATCTGTATACTATGTGTACCGTATTTTTTTTTCAATAGAATATGTTCCCGTTACGATTTTACTTGTATATGAACTTACATATTCACAAGAAGTAGGTACCTCCCTCAGCGTCAAATATCTGCCCTAAAAGATGGTCTCCAATATGTAAAAAAATTTACCAAGTGACATCTAAAATTGCAGGCATTATTAATCTCATCAACTAAGTTCATGTCACAATTACCTACAATTACAAAGACAAACTGAAAGTCATTTACAATTTTAAATGCAGACACTCTGTTATTACAAAACGCTTTGATAACCCCGACAAGTGCTTAAACTTACAGCATCACCAGTACTGAATATTCATTTTTCAAACTTAATAGAATGCACGTTCATTGTCCGGATATTGTATACCGTATACTGTAATTTTGCGACTACCAAAGCTAAATAATTAATGAATTACAGTAGAAGTTAGCGAAAAGAACATTTTGTGTTTTTTACTTTCTTTGTGCTTATGGTATCCTAGTAACGGATTTATTATAACCTGCTGATTAAAGCAATTGTTCGTTCTGTAATCCACTGATATCTTCATTTTATCTGTTCCTTTGGTATTATTGCTTACTTTAATATTCTCCCTTCACGGTAGTAGACATTATTACCCTTATGTGAGATGAGATTTTCTTGAAGTAGCCAATTTAACAAAGTGACTACTTCAATATAACACATTATCGGTAAAATACCCACTTAACTATGAAATCCTTTGTAAACATAAAACTAATGTATTTGGCGTTGAAAATAAATAGTATTAAATCGATCAACGGCTTAGTGAATCTTGAGTTAGCTCCTTCGCGCATATCTTTTCCTAATGGTTCGCGTGTAGATATTGTCTTTTATGTAGTTATTTCATTTCTCAATAATAAAGGAAAATCGATATAAACAGAAATAAATTACTTTAATTAGCCTTACAAATACAAATAATATTTGAGTTCCGCTGAAATTTTTTAAATGGTTGCCATCATTAACTAACTATTTATGGCTAATGGAAATTAAGAAAACAAAGATTTGATCGATATAAAAACACATCAATATGTATATGTAAAAAATCGGTTGTCTATAAAGTCGGTTTACTGACGATAATTGAACGTGACAACGTCATAAGAAAATACTGATGGAATGGTTTCATTTTTCAAAAGAAAATTTTAATTTTATTTGTTTGATAGATATTTTGTATGGAAATAGAGAAGGAGGTAAATGGAAATGTATTATTGTATAGCAGCTGTCCACGCGGACGCATCGCTCACTCAAGTAGGAGAGAGACAGATGTCGAACGCTGCCGAACGCGGAGGCCGATTGTGCCTCTTTGTCGCTCGTTCCGCGCTCTCGCTTGCACTTCAAGCCTTAAATGGAACGCCTCAGAGCGAGGTAACGCCGCATGAGTCATGTTTTTTCGTGCGTGCAGCCGGCTCCATCGAATTATAAGACGTTGTCACGTCAAAAGAGAAAGCCAGAACTACCCAGCGCATACCGTGTTGGTATGTGGTATAGTAGCCTAAACTGTACAGTGTGGTGATTTCTGCCATGGGAGATGTGGTGGTTAAAACTGGTCAACGTAGACACCTAGGGTATTTCCGTATTTCCACCAGTGTTCTAAAAAATGATTGAAATTGTCTATAATGCTAAAATTTTCTTCAGGTGAATGTGGGTTTGCAGGTCGACCACCAGTTTAGAATGTTTGAATGTTTCTAGCGTTGATCTCGATTAAAATTTTATCGAACATCTAGTAAAGGTTGTGAAGTGAATTGGACCGCATAAGTCGAAAACGTTCTGGACAATGTTTTGCACTATTAAGTTTGAGTGGTGGGAGCTGAGTTATAACACTAAATTAGGGCAATTTTATAGTCCTTTCTTCAAAAAGGGTCCTACAAAATGTATGGAATCTCCTATACTCTGCACGTTCGATTTACTGTTTATTGGCTAATGGATCACAAAACACTTACTTAGAACTAGTGCGAATACATAAAAAGTAATGCAGAGGTGACAAATCTGGCGATCGAGCTAACCATTCAATGTGACCCCTTCTCAATGCAATGATTTGAGAACATCTCATGTAATCGTAAAAGTGCGCAGATCGTTGCATATTATGGAAGTGAATCATCTTGTTGAAAGAATATTCAGAAGATCTAGTTTTTCATTATTTTTTTTATCCATACTCATAAATTACCCTACTATATTTAAAAAAATTTACCTACTCGCCCGAATTTCATAATAAAAAACGGGGTTGTTATTTAAAAAATACTTATATCGATGACTTTCTACAAGAATCATCCTGTATGTAACAATTTTATTCAACAAAATGACGAAAATAAAAATAAAATTTCACGGGTTCCAGCGTTTTCACCAATAAAATTATTCATTAAATTTTTAATATATTTATCCACTGCTTTATGAAAATACATACAGTATGGGTGTCAAACTGTTACCAATAACGGCACATCCTATTAGTATCAAGTAGTAAATAAAAATGAAATTATACCAACCGCCAATGTTTGTTTATGAATTCTTAGTTAATTCAAGATGTCAGATTTTCGTACAATTACGTTCTATAATTTCAAGCTAGGTTTGGGTGTTGAAGAGTGTGTCAGTAAATTAAAATTTGTGTTTCATGCATGAGAAAGCACTATCCCGTAGTTCAATGTATAGTACGAACAACTCCAAAGAGGAGATTTTAACTTATCCGACGATTCGCGATCCGGACAGCCTGCTGAAACAGAGTCTTCAGAAAACGTAGCCACTGTTAAAAAAACTGCTTGAAGTACATAGACATACAACTTACAAAACAAATGGAAGGAGTTTTAGAGATTAGTACACCATCAATTCACACTATTTTACATGATCATTATAAAGTTAAAATAGTTTACACGTTGTGTATATCGCATCTTTACTGTTTGCAAGTGGAAAATCTCTTTATGAAAATTCTGCAGTAACACGTGAAGATTCTTTATTATTATGATGTAAAATCTCAGTTTATGGATCCTTGATGATAAAGAATAGCCTACCACCGTGAAACAGTATCAGAAAATGGTACAGAGATTTGTTTATCTCAATTGGTTGAGTTTCACAAAAACTTTTTTGACTGAGCTCGCGCATTATCATTTTGCGGCTACATGACGATAAAGCACCTACACATTGTATCCAATTAACTCAAGATGTTTTGAGCAGCACTACTCTAATTTTGCTTGAGCATCTTTCTTCCAGTCGCGATCTGGCACCTTACGACTTCGAACTCTTCCCATTAATAAATGATAAACTGAAAGGTCAACGGTATTCCACTGATGACGAACTAATTCAAGCAAACTTTTTAATATGAGTGGTTTTATCGTATGGAAAAGTGTATTGCCTCCGACGAAATATTCTGAAGTTCAGATGTCAAATTTCAAAATTCATATATACTTATACGTATATTTGCTAGCTTTTACAATTTTTTGACGTTTATTTTTTTCATATTACTATTAGGTACGTTGATGATAACCCAAATAATTAGATAACTAAAACATAAATAATTTGGTACCTGAATCAGAATCACCATTAGCGTCGGCGTAAAAATATCCTCTGAAAGTTTGTTAGGTAAATATACCTGCTCATAGAGCTCCAAATCCAACAATTAAGTTTCGAAACCAACTACAATAACACAATGACACTGGGCAGATTAAAACTGTAAATTAGTTAATCTGAGGGAAACTTTTTATAATAGATTTGATGTAAAATAAAAATTTATGAAGATAAATTGCATTTATTATGAATTTATAAATGGATTGAAAATTCCTTTTGAATTTTTATCATACTGAACTATATCATTCGGTTAAATAATGATCGTAACAATCCAATTTTTTAAAAAATTGGTCTGAGCACGCTTTGGTCGGTGCTAATACGACTAACTTCCCATTAGATAATACAGTTATTATTGATTCCGTAACTTCATTGTTGTGATTAGATTAGAACGTATTTTAATTAAATTGTTTGTAATTAATTCGTTTTTTTTTTATAAAAAAAAAACGGCTTGACCGATTTCGTTCAAATTTCTTTCAGATCTTCATTATGATAATATCTTTCGAAAAAATTTTGGTTGAGGGCGATATCTCAATCCGTTCTTGANTTGTAATTAGTCAATTCCATCTTGTAGGCATTTAACGTATTTCAGTAATTAAGTAAACTAAATTTGTTTCTATTAAGCCTTGCCCTAAAATGACGAAAAAGAAGTTTCAATAAAAAAATTTTAATTAATTTAAACATAAATATATCAAAAATTGTTTTTTCCCAACTATGTTGTTCATAAGAATATCCAAAAATTCATTTAATTCCACGACTTCATAGGGTCCTTATTTATAAAATTATTAAACACATGTAGGTATGTACGTTGTGAGCACATTTTCTACATCAATAACAAGCATTTAAATACAAAATTTACATCGCAATTTATAATTACTTACATTTTGGAGAATAATACGAAGTAAAAACGAAACAAATCGGAAGCATGAAGTTTTCTTCACATGTTATTCAGTTTTGGAAACGCGAGGAAATCGGACAAACACCAGTCGCAAAAGAGTGACAAGAAGAAGGTTGTGATCATAGCCGACACGGACGTGGAATAAACGTGAGCGCGTTGTGTCATCTGGATTGAGGCAAAACTCCAACGAGGCGAATTTCGCAACCCTCGCTACTTGCATCGCATTGGCTTTCGCACAATCGACCAACGTCGTCTAGGCAACCGACGCGGCGGGAAATTCACAGAAATATTACTTATTAATTGCATCCATTGGCGATTTTCGAACATAGGTATAAATCGTATATCCTTTAACTACTTATCTATCCTGACATTCATTGTCTAAATCAATCATTTCCCATACATAATATTATACTTTGTAGAGGGTTGTCAATAGCTTTGATAATTCAAGCATTCCTGGTCTCGCAATCAGAAGCTATTTGTTCCAGTTTTTGTTATGAACTACTTTTTGCCTGTTGATAGATAAATTATATGGGGAGTGTTCCGAAATATAACCCGGCATACTGGCCAGTGCTGATGACGTCACGAATCGACGCCATACTGTTGATTCGTTCCCAAATGTGCGTTTACGTCAAATTGACGCCATATTGAGAATAGTGTTTGTGCTCGTTTACACCTATTATGGTCCAAAAGTTATTAAAGTTAAAGTTACAATAAAAAATTTCTCAAAGTCTGATGCCCATAAGCCCCTTTGATATACTACTACGTCACATATGTCTCACCAGTATAATATGGTGGCACACCAGTACAATATGGCGTCGATTCATGACGTCATCAGCACTGACTGGTATGCTGGATTATATTTCGGAACACACCCATGAACTATGTAAAACAAAAATGTCTGTACAAAAAATAAGAACTATTGTTCAATTTGATAATAAGTTCGTTCGTAAGATTACTTTAACAATAAACCATAAGTTTTTGGTGAACCATTTTATCGAAACCTCCACATGCGAATTGTGATTTTGAAATCATTAATTCGCATCAACACACCGTATCGATAAATCACTGACCAAGCCAAAGTTGTTCCATGCACGCAAGTTTATTAATTTTAGATACCTAACTTGCTGTTAGCGATGAATTGCGTGTTGGTAGTTAGTAACATAGAAAAAGAATCTCTCCTACTTGTTGCGCACTTATAAGAATACAGAACTTAGACTGTAATATTTTTAAACGTTTAATAATTCTTTGAAGTTTCGCCAACAATGTAGGTGATGCTACTACTTGAAGAGCAGTGGTAGAATTCTGTATGTCAATTAGCCCATATGTTCAACTCAGGTGTCGAATTGAGAAGGATACCGAAATAAACTAGCTGATCACGAGCTGTTCCGAAAAAAATGAGCTACTGCCCAATATGACAGATATTATTTTAGCATTTCTTAATGTAAAATTTAGCAAACCCCCATATGCTTAAATCTTTCTCTCGTCAGATGTATAACTTAATACACCCCCAAAACGCTTCTCTCAGTTCTTCTGCTTCTAATACCTTTTAATTTGCCCCATAGAAGTAAAAACTCGTTTTCAGTATAACTATACAGGGTATTTCTGAAATAAGTAATAAGAATGCAAAAGGTGATAAGGCACTATGAAATAATAAAATTTAATAAATGTCTGGTGGTCTAAAAGCGTACTTGAAAGTAGAGGTAAAGGCCACTCCGATCCTGGTAGTTCACGCAGCCAAATACGACAAAGCTACGCCTTATTCAATCAGCTGGTTATTAACAGAATTGATATTTTTCTTTTGTATTTTTGTGCCAGTCAGCCAGCATGTTCTTTGTTCTTTTAATGTTGTAGACTTCTACGTATACAAGTAGTCATTGGCAGTAGGTCAAATGAGAAAAACGTAACAGGTAAGGAGCAGTCCGGCCCTGGCGGGATAACGCAGTATATAGGCCACATTCAGCATCCGTATTGTATTTCGTTTGCTGTTTTGTGCTCATATATTGTTTGTTATTTGTTAGATTACATTAAGTATGATTTACAATGTTTATGTTGCAGCTAGTCTAGAGTAGTTCTTTGTTCTACGCCTGTATGTATGTAGTTAGTCTTTGGCAGTAGTCATAGGCTAGTACAGATTAGTAGTGTTGCAATCTCAATGCGTGAGATTCTGGAAGAATAATGATTTGCACGACCGTGTATTTAATCGAATTTTCTGGTAGTTTCCATCGGCTGCAAGAAACCCTAACAAATCATAATTCCTTAGAAAGCTCCACAAGAGAGAAGAACGAATTCGGCTACATCGAAGAGTTTCATTAAATTTTCTGGATGTTTCCACGGATCGTGAATAACCCTAACAAGTCATACAACATTGGAAAGATGATGGAAAAGGAAGACCGATTTTACTAATATCCTAGATTTTCATCGAACTTTCTGTCGAGATATTATATGCCTGTTACGACCAGAGCTAGCGAAGCAATAATGGAGGAACAAATAAAGGCATCAATTGCGATGATGACAAAAGTAACACAAAAAAATGGAAGAAGAAGAAGAAGAAATGACACAAAAATGGAGATTAAAAGCAGCTCAAAAAGAAATGAAAAATGGCGGGAAGAAATGAAAGAGGAATTGAAAGCCGCTCAAGGAGAAATGAAACAAAAAATGGAAGCAGTACAGAAAGCAATAAATATGAGATTGGAGGACAAGAAATGAGATGGAATAGAAGATAAAGGAAATCAAGATAGAAAAAAAGATAGAAGAGATGGAAATCATACTGAAAAGAAGATTGAAGAAATGAAACAAGAAATTGAAAAGTTAAAAATACCCTCTACTGCTGATGATCCCTGTACAATGCCAGTAAAAATTAAAATTACAACATTCGATGGGAAGATCTCGTGGTCCGTTTACCTGAAACAGTATGGAGCAGCAGCAGAGGCAAACGCATGGACTGATTCAGAAAAACTAACAGCACTAATAATTTCTTTAAAGGGAGAGGCGCTGGATATACTGTAAAGAATACCCGAGTTCCAACAATATGACTTTAACCATCTTGTTAAGCGCTTAGAAATGAGATATGGCGATAAATATCTACAATAGGTACATCATACGCAACTAAAAAGCCACAACCAACGTAGTAAGGAGACTCTTCAACAATTTGAGTCCCACGTGGAGAGTCTCGTAAGATTTGCATACCTCTCTATACCTAAAGAGTTCATAGACCAAATTGCTGTGGAAAAATNGGTCACATATGGACGGTGCAATGAGAATGCAGTGGTACTGGTGGAATCACATAAAGAAGTGTGGTACCTCACCGAGGAGTTGAAGACCAGAATGACGACTGATCGTTATTGACGAAATAGTTTTGCGATTATTAGACGACAACCACGGTTTGAGTATCCGCTATACCTAAAGAGTTCATAGACCAAATTGCTGTGGAAAAATCCATCAATAGAGTCAAGGAAGCTGAACTACAGCAAGTGCGTAGATGCATGCCACAAGACTCCAAGAGAAAAATTGTTACACGCCCCGCCCTGAAGTTTGAAGTTGCAAAGCAAGCCCTCAAAGGTTATGTACAAGCAAGCAGAAATCGACGATAATACAATTACAAAAAAAGTGTCATGTCGCTCATCAGGAAGTAAGTAACTGATGTGAAGAAAGCCGCTGCAAGAAAACCGGGAGAACGGAACCCAAAATGTAAGGAACGTGTAAGGACTAGTCATTTTCCTCGAGATTGTAACAACTATAGTCATTGAGGAAAAATAGGACGCCTAAGTCGAGAGTGTCCTTCAAACAAAACACGGCCGTCGGAAAACTAAAATCAGCTTCAACTTCATGGGGTGTTAGCTGACGCACCCTCGCCAAGGCCCTGAAGAAGTCATCACTTCACGATTGGACGGCAAGTTAATTTAGTATAAACATAGAATATAAAATAATAATTAGTATTACATTCTATAATCCTTTTTTTTTTTTTTTTAAAACTTCTGTTATTGATTTTTAGATTTTTACATTTTCGTCTACGCTTTCGAAGATCAATTTTTGAGTTTAATTTTGGCCCACTTATTCTTTATGTCATTTGTTCTCAACCTGAAACTCACATTTCGTCAAAGTTATATTCTTGTTTCTTGTATTGCTGCCAGTTTCCGAGTATTGAAGCCTTAGTTCTTTTGTGATTGACTAGTAACGCTTTATATATTGTTACCATGACAATAATAAATATCAATATTATTATTTGTAAGTACTTTGAACGTTGATTTCTTTGTTTGTGCTTTCTCATCATGGTGGGAAAAACCAATACGACCCTTGCTAATGTAGTGAGGATCGAATTTAAGTTAGTCTTAAGTCTTCAGTGTTCAAAACGACTCATTTTTCTTATTCAATAAAGTACTGTATTTAAAGAACGAAAATTTTATTCTTTTATATGTTTCTTTTAAATACGAATCAAGTGTGCTTTATAAATAAAAACTACTTAATTGTATTTTCTGCCTATAAGTGAGGTAACATCTTCGTGGAAAATATCAATTTATAGTATAAGTGATAGTAATATTATATTGAATTTGGAAATCACCTCCAAATTTTCAATATAACAATATGTATAAATGTTCTATGCTTAATAGTTTCCTTTTATGGTTTTTCCAATCCAGAATTTATAATTTTGCTTACTTTGTCTTTTTTTTTTTAACTTTACAATAGCTAGAAAATACCTCAAATGGCGTGATAAACGCCATCTGTAGTACAATGCTACATTTTAGGATTACATATGCTTCAACAAGGTCCATTTAAATATATGGATATCTACTTGCTGAAACGAATCCCGGCGTAGCTAACCTCAACGTGATAGGCACATTACCATAATCGAATAAAATAATTCGAAGTGGTCTATATTCTGTCGAAACTGCCAGACACGGATCGCGACTTCGATCTTTTTGGATGTCATCAGCGCGTTGCTTCATAGACACCTCCCCAGGCTACAAGTCCGTAGGAGGCTATACTGTTGAACAGTGCATAGTAAACTGATATTAATTTAGAGTAATATATAATTGATTTTGGTCTAAAGAGAATATATGACTAATATCTTACCCTACTAAAAGGTAATTTTTACGTGCTCTTTCCACTTTAGTTGCTCCTA